CTTAAATGCATATCCTTCATAATCAATAAACCTTGTATAATCCAGCTTTGTGATATTCCTCTGTGATTAGTTCTCTTAAGCAATCTTATGCTTACTTCTGACAATTGAAAACAAGAACAAGGGGAAATCAAGTATAAAAGTAAGATTAAATTTAAAAATCAATTTTTATAAACTATTTTTAAATTAATCACTTCACAAACATTATCTTCCCAAATTCTGAAGAATTTATATAATTAAACAGAGTATACTCTTTTTAATATTCCATCTAAATATATCTTTTAATTTATAAATTGTATTGTTGATTTCTCTAGAATCAAACAAGTAATAGAAAATAACTATGTGATATCAGATAAATAAATCTAATCACTGTTTATTTCAGAATGCCAACATTTTTTATTAAACAAAATAAACATTTTCAATCAAAATCTGACTATTGTCAGCCTATAGCCATGTATTAAAATGATGTAGAACAGAATACACATAGTAGAACAAAATTCTAATTGAATATTCTGAACAATTATAATACAATAAAACTTTTAAAATTAAAAAGAAATATAACATTAAATAAAATTTAAAATAAATAAATGAAATAAGATAAAATAAAAACATCAATAAATTTCAGATGGGTTTAATATGATTTTTCTGGAGAGCTTATTAGTGGCCTAATTAATATTAACATCCAAAGCCTAGAAATATTAAGTAATAAATAATTGACAGTTACTGGCAAAAATAAATTTTAGAGTACTTGTATATCTATATTTTAAGCCAGCATTGTAATGTAATTAATATTGAAGATGTGTACAAAATTAATGTTGTTTGGATATCGTTATTAAATTCCTTCAATTTCTTTTTTCTCCCTGTATGATTTGCCTAAGGAACATTTTATTTTCCAAAATGTATACTTTTTTATCCTGAAATTTTACACAAAAATTATTTTCATGCTTTTATTTTATTTACTTTTAATTTGACATGTTCTATTGTATTTCCTTTTCATTCTCAAAAATTTTGTTCTATTTAATTATTCTGAATACATAACTTGAATTCTGTTCTACATCATTCTAATACAGTAGATGATTCTAAGCTGAAAATAATCACTAAAAACATTTCTTTTGTTTAATAAAAAATATTGACTTAATTAAATCCTTGTTTATTTTATGAATTTATTTGTAAAGACGATGCCAAGTTTTGTGAACTTTCATGACATTAAATAAGATTTTCTTTTCAAAATTAACTCCTATCAGTTAACATTTACACAGATATTTCATAAAAATGTAAGAAAATAAATTAATTGAACTTACATAGATTAGCTTTTGTTTAAAATTTTATATACTAAACTAATGAAATTTTTATTTAAATAAATGTAAAATTTGAAATCTAAGCATCTATTCTTTAAATAAAATAATAGAATGTTGTATTTAAAAAAAGCTCTAACTTATCATTTTTTAAGTTTTTTTAAGAAAGATTTTTCAAATACCTTTAAATCATTAATTACAGCTTGCACTAAAGAAAATACTACATTATTACTATCCAAAATATTGATATATGTTGATATTTTACATAATTTCACACATGTAACAGCTGCAGCTTCACTCAATTGCTTGCTACTTGTATGAGGGCCTAGTGCTTTCTTAACACTATCTACAAATTGTCTCTGAAATTCAAATAAGAATAATAATCAAATAAATGTATTTTGGTTATTTTTAACTTTGAAAACTATTATTACCTTTCTAGTATGTTTCTGAGACAATGGTGCTCCTGAATCAGCATTAACAATCTCTTCTAAAATTTTCTATAAATTATTTCATTAAATATATTTTAAAATGAACCATATTTTCTAACAATACTAATAACTAATTAAATAATCTATTAAATTGTAATTTTGAAATTAATTTATATCTGAAGTAATAAAATGTACAAATCTAAATTTTCACTTTTATAATATTGAAAAAATTTTCAAAATTCTAGCTAATTCTATAAATTATAATGTATACTAAAAACTTTAGTTAAAACTTTAGAAATGTTAAGCAAATTACTTTTAATTAAACTTGTCTTATTGGCATTTGTATAATATTAATAAGATCACCACATGTTTAAACAGTGAACAAAATATCAATGACTGTCACTCTAAAGAAAGTTTTCAGGTCTTCTATTAAAAACAAAAAAATGTTGTAGTGGTATATTAAACAGAATTTATAGCAGAGGAAAGGAGGAAAGTATTCAGACAAGGTGCTGACAATCTCTATGAATGATAGTGAATTACCTGTTATTAGAAGGGGATGTTGTAAATTATATAATTTTTCATAATTTTGCATTAGACAAATTAAAATCACATTTGCCTTGGTAAGAGAAATATAAATGAAAATCTTAAAATTCTATTTTAAACTCATGTTGCAACTTAGAATAAACTGGCATTTTAGAATTAAGAAATAATGTATATGTAAAAATTTTAATCTCTTAATAAATTTAATTCATTGCTGATCATTTTTTCAATTATTTTTATTTCTTTTTGTTTATTTTTAGTTCCTACCAAAAATAATTGAAAAAATGAAAAAAGAAAAGTTTAAAAATAAAAATTAGTTTTGTTTTTGAGTGACAGATTATTACTTATGACATTTCTCATATGAACTGATTCAGTCAAATCTATCTTATTGGTATGTTTCAAAAATATATCAAAAGGTTAATCAATGAATTTAATTTCTAAGTGAAAAAAAAATGAACACATGAAAAACAAAATAAATAAATGCAATGCAATTTTATATCATAAATATAATTTTGAAAAAAATTTAATTTGTGGAAACAAAATAATTATTTCATAAAGATTATTAAATAAAACATTAATATTCATTATAATAATAATAATCATCCTACAAATACATTTAACACCAAAATTCAATTGATAATGGAAAAAAAAAATCAATACATTTTAGATCTATTGACATACAAAATTATTCAAACAAACATAAATAAAACTTCAAAAGATCTGAAACAAATTGATTCATGATAAGTATAACAACAGAAATAAGTTAACAGTAATAACAGTTAAAAGAATAGTTGAAATTTCAGAAATTTTTTGTTAACAGTTTGTTCTCAAAATAATGACATAAAAGACCCCTTTCTTACTTTTCCTCAGAGATAATTTATAATCAGAATAATATAACACTTGTTATTAAACACTAATATTAAATATTTAGTTCTAATTAGTACAATAATATTTTTAGAAAATATCATATAATAAAAATCAAATGTAATTAAAATGTAAAAGCATTTAAGGTGCTTACTGGACAGAGAACAAGCAACATAATTTGTAAAGGCCAAGTTGCAGCTTTCTTTTTGTTATTGTTTTCAGCAAAATTATCCAGCAAATCAAATAAACGATCACAACAATCTAAGAAAATAAAATAATTATTTTTAGATTAGAATAAATATATAATAATTTGCATATTAAAATTAATCATTATATAGTAAAATATACACTTTTTCTTCCAAATAATTATTGACAATATTAAATATTGTATATAAATTAAAAAAAAAAAATCTAATAATCTTATAATTTCTTCCTAATTATGTATTATATTTTATTTAATGTATTATGTTCAGTATTATTTTTATTCATTTGGAAAACAATTGTGTGTGCATTATAAGTCTTTTTTTCATTTCAATTTGAAATCTTCTATTAAAAAATAAATTAACACAGTATAAACTAATGTTAGTTTAACAAAATTGCAGGAAACATAAAAATACATTCATTATAATAAAATTTCATTATATTGATAAATAGTCAATACACCAGAATGTTGAAAAGCTATTAATTATTGAAAAACTCCTATACCTTGAGGGCAAAGAATCTTTAAGTCAATTTTTTCAACACTTTTAGCAAAATTTCCATTTTTAAAATTCTGTTAAAAAATCATAGTAACTCAACAATTTGTTGTAACTTTTCCATCTTTTGACTTTCTCTGCACTGTGGGCACTATGCAGGCATTTTAATCATGCTCACCATGGGTTAAGCAAGACCCATAATGGGGTTGTTGAGACGAGGAGCTCTAGTTCAACTTCCTTGAAAACTTCTGAACATAAAACATGAATTTGATTCTCCAGAATGGATACAGCCTCAACTACCTAGCTGTCTGTATTTGTAACTAAAAGTTTATTGTCAGCACTGTTTTGAACAGTTGAAACACAAAACAACAGTGGCCTGATTATTGTGTATCTCACTTAAAAATAGCCGTTGTTTATTCTGTAATTCTCAGTCATGTTGTATTCATGTTGTAATCAAAACCTTCTCCACAAATTCCTACATTATGTGACAGAATTCCAATTAGAAAATGGCATAGACTTTGTATCATGTTGACTATAACCAAAATGAAAATCTCATCATCATCTACAATATTAGATAATATCAATAATACCACTTTGGACAATTGTACTGTACAATACTGACACTATACTACAAACTAAATCAATAATTATAGTTAAATTCATATTATCAGATAAATGTCAAAACAGTATCCATTGACAACAAAGAAAATTAATTTATATATTAAAATCCATCCTATGGACAAAGCAATAATTATAAATACAGATATGTCACACTAACTTTATATAGCTGTTTCAAAAATTAACTGCAAAGCTACATAAGGTTAGTGCAACATATATCTCTATTTATAATTTATATATTTACAGATTTCAATGTAATCAGCACTTTTGTTCATATGAGCTTTAATTTTTGTTACATTAAACTGAAATTTTTGTTAGTGATATTTGTTAAAATAAAACATTTTTATAAATTTTTATATTAGGATGAATAGTAAATGGGCAAGGATTGTTATATTAGTAATTTTATTAAACCAACATTTGTTATAACAAAATTTACTGTACAGTATCTTTTCCCATGATATTAGAAATGAATACTTCTACCTTTCAAAAAATATTAAATAAGACAGAACTTATACAGAATATAACTGTAGAATATTTGTTATACATGTAATGTAATTTTTACATCTTAATTCTTACATCTTGTCAGATAATACAACAAAATTTTGTATTCTCTGGCAGTATTCACTCCTGAAGTTTTTATCTGAGTGAAAGAGAAAAAATAGACGAATGCAAATTTTACAATATTGCAGTATTTGTAAATACCATCTAATACAATCCCTCTTTCTTTATAAACAAACATGCAAATGCAGAACAGACAGAAATACAATTTTGTAAAGGTTTTTTGATTTTTGGTGTCATGAATATAAAAAAAAAAAGAGGAGGAGAGGAAAGGTCAAAATTTGACTAATCATCATATTTTCTCTCTGTTATATTCTTTAACAGCCAGAAGCCTGGCTTCTTTTAGTTATTTGTCCATTTGCACTATTGTTTATAAAATTAATTTTCATCAAATAATTTCTGACTCTAGAATAATAATTAATTTAATACTTGTGCTATTATATAGCAGTTATTGAGTTATAAATTTAATCTCTATAATACATTCAACCTTTCTTCTCTAACATGTTAATTCTCATTATTTTAAAAATAAAATATAATAGCATATGTCTAGAAATAGGTATTGTTTAATAATTATAAAAAATAACAATTTATAAATATACAGTAGAGCGTCATTTATCCAAATCAATTGGGGACTGAGGTTGTTTGGATAACCGATTATGTATGAAAAAATATATCAACCTATCCCAGGGGTCGGCAGTTTGTCAAGTGAGAAGAGTCAAATTGTCATGAAAACAGGATAACAAAAGTACCAGAGCCGCATATTAATTTAAATGTGCGAAATACGACACACGACAGAGGCGCCTCTAGTGGCTGTTTTCGGCATAAAGTTACACGGATGGATTGACACGCGTTCAATGGGTTATATATATAGATATGCTTCAAATGCTACCACTCTTATGCGACTCATATTGATCAACGCGAGTGTGGTCATGTGCGGACGGAGAACAAGTCGAAGTTTGTTCAGCGGCTCTATCTCATAAACTCTTAAGTTATAAGGCTGCGGTGAAATGAGGTGAGATGAAATTGGAGTTTATTTCTGAAGAGCCGCATGCGGCTTGCGAGCCGCTAATTCCGACCTCTGACCTATCCCATGTTGAAATTTTTCTTCTTGTGTGTCACTTCGTGTTGAATTTTAGTCAATGTTAAGCCTAACATAAACTTTTTAAAATAATAATCGTGGCTATTGTATCATTAAAAATTATTTCTTCATTTTTTACAAATAAAATAAATATACTAAAAATATAAAAACCAAACAAAAATATACTTTAGAAGTTAATCTAGTATCAAAAATGTTTGATTCAGCACAACAAACAAAAGTGCCAGTGCTGCCAGCTAAAACACACACACCAACAAAAAAAATATTGGAGTAGCCCAAGATATAGCCAAAGATTGCAGCGCCATAGCACTAGCAAAAACTTAAATTTGCCGACTGGAATGCTTTCGGTTAACTGACGTTTCGGATAACCGGCTTTCGGATAAACAACGCTCTACTGTACTCAACAACTCATACTTGTTTCTAATGTCCATTATTTCCTACATTTGATCCATTTTAACATAATAAATTATTTTAGAAATAAATATTTTTAGCATATCTTTGTAGTAATAATTTAAAGTTAATTGATAAATAAAAGTATAAAAAAGTCTAGATCAAATTAGAAACAATTTAAAAATTTGTTAAATATGCTATGTTTAATGTTCTAGCTGAATCTTTTCTCCAATTAAACTAAAAATTATTTCAATTGAATTATATTCATTTTCAATTAGTTGATGATAAAAATATTACATATGTAACAATGTAAAAGAATGTGAGCATAAATTAATTTCAACAAAAACTATTCATTAAAACTATTTTCTAATTAATTTTAAAAATATAAAAGTTTTACTAACCAGCTAATTCTTCATTTGGCTTCTTTTGTAAATCCATAAATTCTTGTGGATAAGTATCCATCCAATTCCAAATAGCCTGTAGTGAAAAAATATATTTCATTTAAAATAAATTTTTAACTATAAATTTTCTTTTTCTACAAAACATTTTAATGTGCAGAAACTTTACTGTATATAACATTAAAAAGAGATATTATTTTATTTCATTATACTGTATAATAATCATTATGTTACTGAAATGATTGTACATTAAAAAATATGGAGAAATTACTTTATTGGCCTGAATATAAGTCAACTCCCAATTTTGGAATCCTTATTGTTTGAAAAAAAATTAGGACAAAAATATAAAATCAACCTTTTATTATTAATTTTATTTGTATACAAAAAATTTGCATTAAAAAATTTGGAAAGTCATTGAAATAATATTTCATCACTGTAAAGTATTGACCTTTTAGCAGAGTGGGAACAAAAGAGGCGCGACCTTGTCAATTGGACCCACATGCGGTCGGGTAATACCACTTGTAAGGTATTGACTTGTAAACAAGGGAAAACACAGGAAGTGCCGGCTTTGTCAATTGGACCCACCTGTAGTCAGACATCAGACCATTTGCCATATGGTAAACAACTGAATGTAAACAAGTGGCAGACGTTTATGTAAGCTTCACTCTCGTCGGATGACGGCGGGCCCGAGTGAAAGCTATTCGGGCAAGAAGGGGTTGTGATTGGTCAGAAGTTCCCGTCCAAAAAAACCCTTAAATTGCGGGGTAAACGAGAGAGGAAGAGAGAAGGGCAAGAGACTGGTACACTGTAGCTCAGGCACTTGGAAGGCCCGCTGAGCATAGAGAGAGTGTTCTCCTCTGGTAAACATCTCAGGGATGGGTTAGTGTGGAGACTGGATGGACTGTGCAGTTGAGCCAACTCCACGAGCTGACTGAGTCCTCTTTAAAGTTTAAAAGTTCCCAGAAACCAAACTAGTACGTGAGTCACCATGCATTGTTATCATATATATATATATATATATTATGTTTTCAAACTTGTACCTTCTACGTATAGAAATCTGTAAATAAACTGTGAATATTATCAATTTGAGTGTGGAGGTGTGCTTTCCATTGAACCTGGATCACTACATCGAATCGTGATACACATGGAAACCAACTCAATGAGACGGAGTTGGAAAAGAACTTCACTAAGATCTTCACTATCACTTTCACTGTCATCATTCCTATTTCCTATTTCATTCATTTTATACCCAGATATTTGTAAATACAATCAGCATAAATAAACTTTTGATCACTTTCTTATAAAAGGTGATCTGCCTATAACCTTTAAGACAGATCTGACTTATTGATAAACCAATGCCAGAATGTGAAATTGTTTCCACAGCAAAGACTAAAATCCATAAATATAATCTAGATTTAGAAGATTTCTCTGTAAGTGAATTATTTCTAAAATCATTCTTGGAATGCAAAACAATATCAGAATTAATATCAGCACAAATTAAATGAAATGTGGTAACAAGCTTCCCAAATACAAATGTTGCACTTCAAATTTACTTATCAATTTTGGGATGATTGAAGAAGGTAAACAAGTATTTTCAACATTAAATCATATAAAAATCATTTGTTTTATCTGTTCAAAATTATCATCTTTATCAGTATTTTCTACAAAAAGTGAAATATTAAAATAACTGCCTATCAATAAAATAATAAGAATTTGCAAATTAAAAATGACAAAACAAATATATCTTAATTACCAATCTTATATGTTAAATGTGATTTTTATATAGTAAATATGATTCACAATAGTTTATGTTTTCAAGAATTGGCATTTAATAAGCCTACTTCTATTTTTAAAAATGTCTATTTATAATTTTTGTAAATAAAAATAAAAAATATCTTTATTTTAAAATTTTTGTTTTCCTTCCAAATTCCTGTAAAACTTTTTGTTAAAACTGTATTTGTAAGCCTAAGGCATTGTATTTAAAGTGTCTAATAAATAAGGTGACCTTGCGATAGATGACATTTCAGAACACTTGAAAAATGAGAACATACCAGAACATATGAGGTAGATGATGATAATTCAATAGATGTCTAATCACATTATGGAAATTATGGGAATGTATTTGTTTCTCTTAAAGCAGTCTTTATTTAAATATCTTATTTACAATCATTAACAGACCTGAAAAATCTTTTCTAAATAATATCCTACAATATTGTTACATTAAAAGTATAAATATTCTATATACATTAAATTTATAATTACTTTTTCCACACTATTCATTAAAACCAAGTATGCACTCTTCTTTAAGCTCTTAAACTTTTGATTAATTTCTGAAAAACAAAAAATTGTTCTAAATTATTTTCATAACTTAAAATATTTTAGTATATAACAAAATTTTTAAACTGAAAAATCAAGATTTTTATTAATGATATCATGACATAAAAAATAACTTTAAATAAAAATATATTAAATAAATTTTAAGTTGTTATTATTTAATTAAAGAATAATAAGTATATACTCATAATATTTACCTGATAGCAATTTTATTAAGCGACTAATATCAAGATTAATATGTTGAATAAGTTCAATATCAATATAATCAGGATTTTCTTCATTACTATTTGACAGTTCTTGCAATCTATAAGATGATTAGTATTCATATAAATTTTATATATATATTATAATTTTTACATTAATTAATTTTAAATTAAAATAAATATGATTTAATTTGTTATATTATTTCTTTAATTGTTTGAATGAAATATTTGATTTATTTTTAAAATGAAATGTAATGCTGATATTCTGTTCTATGATGTTTAAAATAGAGCCATCCATACAAATTGATATTTTTCATATATTTATATATTTTAGGGAAGTTACATTACAAAATGTTTTACNAAAGGTTGAGTGTGGATAATACAATGACATGTTACCAAATGGAAAGAATTTTCACAAATAATTACAAATAAAATTTTTTGTAGTGTGATGAATGTAAAAAATTTTTTATTGTATAAAACAAATTATAAACTAAGCTGAATAGGTACAGGAACTCCCCTACTTATAAACTTATAAGTAGGGGAGTTCCCTATAAACTTTCAGAAACTTACAATTTGACTGTACATCTAAAACTTAAATTTCACACATATTATGAAGTTCTCTTGTCAGTTGTGAAATGGTGTCAAAGTCAGTAATAATAATTAATGTAGATTTATTTCTATTGCATATCATCATTTTTCATTTTTGTATGAATTCTGATGTTCCATCACAGCTCACAAGGTGGCCTCAAAGTTGGTAATGTTGGAGTAACAGCATTTTTCACTACTGTTTTCAATTTTTATAAACTTTTATGATTAGTGCTTCAAAAATATGTCCAAAACTAATAGTAAATCTAGTAGTGAAGATAATTGCAAGAAGTGTGGCTCTATTACCATGGAAACTTAACATTATAAAACTAAGTATGTCGGGTGGAAAAAACCTGCATTTGAAACACCCACTACTTAGTAGTAGCAAATGGTTAAACAAGTGTAATGTATTCCATTAAATGCATTGAAGGATCAAATACTAACAATATGTGGTTATTCTGTGTAAAAATGTACTTTCTAGGTAAGTTTTTGACTTATGACAAAACCTCAGAAACCTAACCTGTTCAAAAGTAGGGGAGCACCTATAGTAATAACCAACATTAGCAAATTTTAATTGGGAAGTATAACTAATTAATTAGCCATATTTAACTAAATTAAAAGCTTGCAGTATTGTTTGCTTATTAAAATATAAAAATGATAATATTGCAAGTACCTGATACTAGTCTGTAACATTTTTATTTATTTATTTATTTTTATAAACTGTAGTAGATAAAAACTTAAAACTTGTTATTACATACTGCATTGTTGAAATTAAACAAAAGTGGTCCATGACAGCAATAATGTCTACATACCACACACAGCAAAAGACAAATATGACAGATTTTTATTGTTAATCCTTTAGAACAAAAGAGTACAGGCCAGCAAACCCTAGCAGAGAGTTTAGGTAAGTAGCCCAATTCCAATAATTTCAACCTCCCCTTTCAATTAAGAGTTTTAGTTAACCAATCAATGAGAAAAATCAATAATTGATACAAGACATGAATGATTGTATAGCATTCCTGGAGAGCATTTAACACACAAAATAATATTGTGTACAGCATCAAATCAAATATAATTTGTTTATAAATATTTGGAAACTTTCTTGGGCATAGACTTTTCATGAGAATATCTGCTATATTCATGTTTGAAGGAACATAGATCAACAGACTCAGTTCCATTTATAATAAGGTCTTTTAAGAAATTAAATTTGATGTCAATGTGTTTGGATCTTCTTGAGTTTTCATAGTTGGTCATTATAGCTATTGTACTTTGACTATCCACTAGCATATGAGCTTTGACAGTGTGTTCACTAAAGTCCATTGAGAGTTCTTATACAAACAGAATTTCTATTGTACAGCGAGCAGATGCTTGATATTTGGCCTATAGTGAAAGTATGACAGTTTGCTGTTTCTTTTGAATACCCTGAGACTAGGTTTCCACAGTAGTGGATTGCTGATCCACTCACACTTTTTCAAATTGTCATGTCTGATCTCCAGTCAGCATCAGCATAGGCAGTTACATCGATGCCATCTGGTGGTTTCCTCTTGTAGAAGGTTAGCTATAGGACCTGAGCAGCTTTGATGTATCTCAAGATTCTTTTGACAGCCTTCCATGCTGATGACGTTGGAGTGTTATTAAGGAAACATCCAAGATAAGCTGCAGAGTAGAATATTATGATGGCCAGGTAATTTAGACTTCCAATAAGTTTCTTATAGGGTATATTGCAAATTGGTTCATCAGTATCAATCTTGAAGTTTGGCTCCAGAGGTGTCAAGATTCCTTTATCATGTATTGTGAACTTTGCAAAGATTTTGTCAATCAATTTCCTTTGATTCAACCTAACAGAATTTTCATCATAACTGATTTCCACTCCCAGGAATGACGAGTTAATCAAGGTCTTTTGAGTTGAATTCAGTTTTTAAACAATTAACAAGATTTTTGATTGTCATGCTCACCAGTTAGCAGAAAAACATAAAAAAAAATTATAATCCAAATATAGTCTCCAATGTATAAGCATGGATCATTTTTTGCTCATTGCAATTTATTCTTGTATGCAAATACATCAAAGCATTTATCCCAACAACATAGTCTCTCTGAATCAATACAGAGCTTTATTTAACTACAGTACCTTTCCATGTCAATGCCTTCTGGAGTTTGATATAGACTATAGGTCATCCTCATCAGGAGTTAAACTAGCACTAAAGATCCCTAATCAGCAGTGGTGTGCCATGACATTTGATGATAGGGAAGCTGTGTTTCTGTAAGAAGCAGACTTCTAGGGACAATTAGTTAATTTCGCATCAATGATGGTCTAGAGCAGGGGTTGGCAGTTTGTCAAGTGAGAAGAGCCAAATTGTCATGGAAACAGTATAACAAAAGTACCAGAGAGACACACATATAACATGCACCAGAGAGATGCCCCCTAGTGTGCGTTACAGGCATTCTGTGACAATAATAAATTCCTATTACAAATATACTGAATTATTTATATTGTTATTGGCTATTGGCCAAATAAATAATAATTTATACTGTTAATTTAAATGTGCAAAATACGACACATGACAGGGGTGCCTCTAGTGGCTGTTTTGGCATAATGTTACACAAACAGACACGTGTTCAATGGGTTATGTATATATAGATAGATATGGTTCAAATGCTGCCACTTGCATGCGACTCATATTGATCAATGCGAGTGTGGTCATGTGCGGATGGGCTAAAGAGTGGTAGAGAGTATGCTGTACGAGTCAAAGTTTCTATCTCATCTCATAAATTCATAAGTTATAAGGCTGCAGTGAAATGAGGTGAGGTGAAATTGGAGTTTACGTTCGAAGAGCCGCTAATTCCAATCCCTGGTCTAAGGTCCATTCATATTTGTTTGTTCGATAAGCCAGTAAAAACCGTAGACTTCTCTAAAAGTATTTTTAATATCACAATTACATTCTGAATCGCTAGCAACGATATAAGGGCTAACACTTAAAAATAAAATTATAAAAACTTACTTGGTGAAATAAAATGTGTGATGGATGTACATACCTGGTACAAAATATTCTTCAATTGATGAATATACTTTTAAAGAAAATTATAATTACCGTATTTTGACGAGTATAAGTTGCTGTCAAGTATAAGACGCACCCCTATTTTGAGACAAAAAATTTAGAAAAAAACTGTTTTAATAGGATTGTCTAAAGATGCATTTTATTTGTTTTTTTATTCAAGAATATGATGGATGGATGAATTGATACTTTTATTAAACTGAAATAATCGTCATTTCTTAATGTTAACTCAGAGGTCACGTGATGACAGTCGACAGAACATGGCGGCGATGACTCGTGTGTCACTACTCTGATAATCTAGATACTATAGTCATTCGGTTGAGGGACCATCTGTTTAACGGACCACTGCACAGGTTGGTCCCTAGAGTGGACCACTACTGTAGGTAATTTCACTGTAAAAATGGTTACCTATCGAGTATAAGACGCACCATGATTTTGAGCCCCAAAAAGTAGTAAAAAAAGTGTGACTTATACTCGTCAAAATACGGTAAATATAGCTTTGTAAAGAACATAAAAATAACATAAAATCTTCTTTACTTTTTAAATCTTAAAACAATCCACTTATCTACAAATGGCTAATGGATGGAATCAGAGTAATCCAGAAAGTGCCGATACCGGTCAATGCCAAATATCTCTTTTGTTGCATCACTAGTAAACCTCAAAGGACATGACCTCAAAGAACATGACATAATGTTTCTCACTATAGCTGTAAAAATCTAAATATGTTAAACTTAATAGTCATTTGTTTTCTAACTAATTCGTTTTAGGACCAAGTGTCCTCAGAAATTTCCAAAATTTACAACTTTTCGGTCACTCTCATTGAACTGGAAAAATTTCTGTCTTTATTACTTTAATAATACGAAGAAATCAGTCTCCAGTGTACTCAGCTAGAGATGGTTCAGTTAAGCTTTTGTTTAAGTAAAATTTTGGCTCTTTCATCAGGATTTTATTTATGTCCCTAATTCCCTAATCTCTTAATTATTTAACTATTTCTTAAGTAGAAATAAGTTGAAACTGGTTACTCTGTACTTGAATATTTGTAATCTTGGGAAAGAAGTGGAAAAACAAATATTTATGACAACAGATACATAAATCATAAATTTAAGGAAAATAAATTCTAGATCTTTTTTCTGTACCTTGTGCATCTCATTCATTACATTTAGTTGTAAATGATGTTGCCAAAGTAACAGTTCATTTTTTTAACATTGTACAAGAATTGTACACGTTTTTTTCTACATCCCTTTAGAGATGGGACGTACGAAATTGTAATATCACTGGTTTAACATTGAAATCCGTGAGTAATATAAAATCGGTTAGTGGAATAAATATATCAAATATTTTAATGGATTTTTTTAAACTCCCGTTAACTATACAGAACTATCATAAAAACATACCAGTAAACTCCTATCGATTGGGTTAACTTATAAATCTACTCGCAATTCACATAATGGGGCTAGGATGGC